AGAATGGGTCAGGTAGCTGATGACCACGGTTGAATTAAGGATAGTAGATTACTGAGAATCATCCCAGATTCCAATTGTATTTATACATTAATTATGCATTTGTAAAAATCTTACAAATAATTCTATTTTCCCAGGATGACATTATAGGTAACAATTTAATACATGTGGTAAAAAAAAAACATATTAAGTTCTTAAAATCATAATTAGATAAATTAAATACCTCAATAATCTGATAGTTATCATAAATAAAGAATTCTATGAATAAAGTCTTTTCCATTTTCCATGTTGACAACAACAGCATGTCCTTTATATATCATTCTAATATACAGTTTCTGTGAAGATTTTAGTTGTCCCAATGCATGGAAAGTAAAACGTCTTGAAATATGATTTGACAGAAAGCAATATACACATTTTAATCAGTAGTTTTTATTAAGAAAATTTCTAAGGTATTGCTAAATGTAAAGTTGATTTGTTTTCAAATTATGTAAATTGGACAGATTACTTGAATTGTTTCCTAATAAGTAGATGGTTAATTAAACATTACTGAGCAATTTTACCAGGACATGATGGAAATTTAGCTGACAACATATTGTATTGTGTTCTGAGAACATTATGAGGAATCCAAATTTCACTTCCTTGGCAATGTCCTGAGGTCATATGATGCAAAAGACAATGTGGGATAAAGTTTTAATATTAACTAGGAATAAATCCTCGATATCATTTTTTTCTAGGAATGTTAATACTTTTCTCATGTTAATTGCACAATTTTATTTAAAAAATGAAGTACTAAATATTTCTAGGAACATAATATTTCAATGACTAGGATAATCAAAACAAGTGCAATTTATCCCGAGGAGAGTAAATTCACAAAGGGGGAAGAGACAAACTGTAATTCTATACATGAAAACACTTAGTCCCACTTCAAAATTTGCAATATCTATGGATAGTACTGCATTTCATTTTTAAGGATGTAGTTAGCAAGGCCAGTCACATTAAACTTACAGAAATTATTTTCTTCTTTCAGGAAGACCAATTACATTAACAGGAAACTTAACAAGAAATTCTCCTTAGGAGACTTATTCAACTGAGAATTTCTCTTTAGAATACAGTTTAGAGAAGTAATTAAAGGGTCTAAGGTGTTTTTCATCTGTAGGTCATCTCTTTCAATCTGACTTAGAGTTCAAGGATAAAGTTGATGCTTTTGGTGAAATAAATTAATAATGTTCATTCAATTTCTTATAAACAAATGTCTACATAGAAAAACTATAATTATTGTATGATTCCTGGCATTAAGGTAACCAAGGAATAAAAGATCATTTATGCTCTTACCTTTAGATGCAGTGCCTTCCTAAGAAGGTCTGAGGTGGAAAAGCTAACATGGGTATGTTAAAGCTGGGCACGGGAGATTCCATCTGCTTAGGTCTTGTATTACTCTCTTTTCATCCCAAATCACTTTTATCAGCTACTTTACCAATGAAATAAAAAGCAATCAGAGGAAAGAATTATGTTTAATAGTTACCAGTTATGGTATAACATAATGTAAATCATAGTGGGAGTGTTTTGTGAGCAAACTGCATACCAGTCCAATATACACATGTGCGCACACGCACACCTCCCCCCCCCCCCACAAGTGTTTAGTATGCAAAACAGAAGGGTACCAATGGTGGTTCACCATTTTTTCTTTGACTTTTCCAGTATTTCTCAAGTTATACTTCACAGACCCAGGGTGCCTCTAACGCACGCATATGATTGGGCACCATTGTTTTAAGCAAATGCAGACTCCTGCTCCTCATTGTCAACAAGAAACTTATACCACTAGGACAGGGAGTTAAAAAAAAAAGACTAGTTTACCTTTCGGAATATATGTGGCAATTCTCCCCCCACTCCCATTTTCTCACTACCACACTACACACTCATACACTACTTGCATCAGTGTTTTCAAGAAAAGAGTATTCTAGTACAAAAAAAATAAAAGTGAAGGCAAAACCAGTGTTAAAATACTATAAAGCATTCCAAAATCAAGTAGCTATGATTTGTGGCACTGCTTCTAATTAACAGTGATAATCAAGAAGAGGAAATTGTACTTATTTCCCCTGGAAAAACTATACAATGCACGAAGAAGAAAACTGTAGGGGCTGAAAAGGTAAAAATGTGCAGTCTGTACCTTATTTCTATTGGAGGATGCAGGGATTGGGAAGGAGGCAATGTAGGAAGACATGGAAGAGGCCAATTAAGACCTCACGGTATTAAGGACTGTGTAACACTCTATGCCAGGGAGCAGTTTTGAATGCTTTGCTGCACATTCCCAGAATACTATAAAGAAAAGGGGTGGGAAGATGTAGAGCTTCCTCATGTCCCAAAGTGAACTCATTTATTTTTATTTATCACCTTTTAAGCTATAGGAAGAAAGTTAACTGAATGATCCTATGAAATGCACCAGAGTTCAGCTGTCCTAGAGAATCATAAGAACAGAAATCAGTTTTCTCTATATTCCTAGAAGGAAAAGGGTGTTTTGGGCACTTTTCATGGCACAGGGAGCAGAACTGATTTGTCAATATTTTGGGCAGCAGAGAAATATTAACCTCAGATTCCCAGTTGTGCAATTCCTATACATCAGTAATCAAGTCCAAACTAGAACACTTGTAACAGAGTGCTAGGATTCACCCATCAAATGTGTGGGGTGTTACCAGATCAAGGGCACTCCATAGCCTTTGTTCCCACAGGCAATTTTCCTGTAAGACTCTGGAGAAAACTTGGCATGTGTTTTTAACGTAGTGAGTTTGCCAGAATGCAAGGCAGAGTAATGAAAATTAATGTTTTCACTTATTTATTTTCACATTTCATATGTGTATTTTATGTATTCAGTGTAGGCAAGAATTACTGATGCTATTCCTGTGAGGTGAAATATGTAAAAATAACTCAGGGACAGGTAGTATATATCAAGACCAACACACATTCATCGATGGAGATGCACCAACATAAGAGAACAGGGTTAAATGGTATTATTACAAGAGAAAAAGATAAAGTTTAGATAATTCAAAACCTAAACAAAAATTACTGTACAGACTTACTATCCTCCATTTGGTGCGTGAGAAAGTTATTTGATATTAAAATTAAGTATTCTTATTTTATGGTTTTCTTAAATACAATTTTCTCTTCAAAAATAAATTTTCAATTATTTCAGGAATTAAAAAAAAAATTGCAATAGCTATTTGTAATCTGGACTCCAAGAAAGAAAAAGAAATAAATACTTATGATAAATTGCTATATGCTGAAAAATCCAATTTTACTTTTTTTTGACCAAGTGGGCTAGAAGTAATGAAATCCATATTGCCATTTATATTCTAATATTACCCCTGAAATAAGGAGAAGTATAATTGGGTTCATGATTCTTTGTGATAGTGAGAAACAATACCTTCTTAGAAGGCAAATGAAAGAAATTCAAGATCAGTAACAATGGAATGAATAGTCAAAAAACGTTGAAATGTCTAGCATTGTAAGATTAAGCTTAATAATCACAGGGTTGAAAATGTTCACACAATTATAAAAAGTGAAAGTTAAAATTATTCTTGGTAAAATCACATGTCTATACGAAGTGTCTTCAGACTACCTTGGCTTGAGTTAAAGACTTTCTAATTTGACTTTTTCATGAAAGTTCTCTGCAGCTTGAAAACTTGAAGCTGTTCTCCAGTGTGCAGTCCTAGGCTCCCCCACACTGTTGGATTAATGGTGACTCATTTGATTAGAGTTTAAATCTGGGACATAAATTTAATTCAGCATCTTTTTCCCCCTTCAACAGTTCTGCCCAGCATCCCTGTCATGCACAGGCAAAATCTTATTTTCAGAGGGAATAAATCATTATGGATTTGAGAGAAATAAGTCATCTGGGACAAGGAACTAGCAAATATACTGCTAAATTTTCACTTTGGAGACCATAAGCCTAAAGAAAGGAGGATTCCTCTTACCTGCGATTAAACAATACTTTTTCAAAGTCTTTGCTCTGGAGTTTGGATATGTAGTTGATGTTTACCAATGGTTATTTGTATCACAATTTTAACAGAAAGGATCGCCAACTTATCTTGTGGAGTCTAAAATTAAAGTCTTCACATTTTTCTATTATAATTTCGGTGTCTGTATGTAAGACTGAACACAAAACCCCCAAAAGATATGCAAAGTGCCACAGAACAATGTGCTTTAGCGTAAGGGAAGTATTTTGTTTTTTTCTTTAATTTTTAACATTTATGCATTCTTTTCTGAACAGTTACACAATGCAGATTTAGCCTGCTGAAGTCAATGGCCAGATGAATATAGTTACTACAAATGATTTCCCTCTAAACAAAAGTCTTATATCCTGGGAACAGAGCAGGGGCTTTGCTGCTAGTGAGGTATTCACAGATGGGACTGTTACCAGTCAGTTCTGCGGCTAGTAAGCAAGTTACCCAGATAGAAAAGCAGCACTTCAGAGCCCCTTGGGTGCAGTAAAAACTCTTTTCCCCTTCTGCTGAAAGTCCAGTCATTTGAATGTATATTCTTTGCAGTGTCTATGTGGAAATGTTCACAAGAAGTCTGAGTAAAAATCAGATACCATTTTCCATTAGCATGTTATTAAAAATTTAGCTCTACTATTCCTGGTGAGAAGTGACAATTTCAAGCAAATGGTTTTGTTATCACTTCTGGGATCCATCATGTTAGACAGAAAATATATTTCTAAAAATATGACGACCCCTGTCATTTTATTGCTATGGTCTAAGCAGGTGGGGCTAATTAATGATTTTCTGTATCATCAAAGACAAATCAAGAATTCCATCTAAAGCAATTCTTGCAGAAATATATGGTGTTGGGCCCCAGTTGAAGTAGTTTTCCTAAATAAAAACTACAAAATACTTTTCACTAAAGGTAACTGAGAAATTGTTTGATCTGACAGAGGATGAGGACACACCTTCTTCTTCTTCTTCTTTTTTTTTTTTTTTTTTGAGACAGTACACTTTGTGATTCACAGGGTAACTTGCATCAGACGCAATTTAATGAAAGCTCTCAAATAAGCAATTTTATTCCTATCCATGATTGCAGACATTTACAAAACCATAACATCTGAGTTCACCTTAAAAAATAACTTATATAAAGCAGTGATATACACAGCACAAAATAGTTCAGGGAGGGGCAGGAGCAACTTTTAATAATTAAAATGTAAACGTGAAAAAAAGGATGGAATAAAAGTCCCTACTTACTTCTACTTAAGATGTCATGTAATAATATTTTACAATGTCCTGTGGGTCAATGTATGTATGTGCATATGTCCGTATAACATACACATATACAATACATTCTCTGACCCACACATATACATACACAGATAATTATTTGCAGTTCAGTTTAGGGCAATTCTAATATGCCGCTCTGTACAGTTGTTTGAATCACGTTTGGACCCGCTTTCTTCAAAAAATAGGGGAGAGAGCAGGAAATAAAAAGGTTGGTTTGGTGTGACTGAGATTCCTTTGTTTAACTGTACACTGTGATGAATAATTTTCTTCCGTAGTAGTTCTGTGAAGGGCTGACTCACTGTGGTTTTCATGAGGAGACTTGGTAATGGATCACACACTCATTGTCATGCTAGGGGAGTACTAGAAAGAAAAAAGAATCCATATTTTAACAACAATTCTTTTACAGACCACTAATGTTCTTCTTGGTAAACAGTAGTAACCATGGATTTTAACGTCTTGAAATCTTTTATGCTCAAGCCTTTAACATAAAAATAAGAAGCTATAAAAGAGTAAATTTATATAGAATTGACTAAGTCCTGAAATTTATAATATTTCCTCTGGAAAGCGACCAGTCTCCCTCTCTCTCTGCACTCAGATGGCTGATAACTACCCAGGCCCTCAGTCGTCTCCTTCTAGCCAGATTCATGTTTTGTGGGCATTTGTAACAATCTGGGTAAATCCAACCCATAATGAAATAAGTATGAGGGACAGCCTAACTACCTACTAATTATGTAAACTTAGTAACTATATTACCTCTTTGTGCTTCAGTTTCTTCATGGGTGAAATGGGTTTAATAATAGCATTTATCTTTTTTTTTTTTTAATTTTTTTTTCAACGTTTATATATTTTTGGGACAGAGAGAGACAGAGCATGAATGGGGGAGGGGCAGAGAGAGAGGGAGACACAGAATCGGAAACAGGCTCCAGGCTCTGAGCCATCAGCCCAGAGCCCGACGCGGGGCTCGAACTCACGGACCGCGAGATCGTGACCTGGCTGAAGTCGGACGCTTAACCGACTGCGCCATCCAGGCGCCCCATAATAGCATTTATCTTAAAGGAACTTGGGGAGTATTAAATCTAAAATCTTTAAAACCATGTATTTACTGAATATACAGAAAGTGTTCAGTAAATGTTTAATTAATAGTGTAAGGGAAACAGAATAAAGCAAAACAAAAGACAACTCCCAGCTGGCCCTAGGACGTTCTCATAAAGTATTTAGAATACTTAAGAGTCTGATTTACATTTAAGGATGTAAGTGTCTTCCTCTAATCTGTGGTTCCAATTTCAGTCCACAATATTTTGAGGGTGGGAGCAGGGGGTACTGTTGTTACACATAACCTTTCAGTTTGATGAGGCTGACAATTGGTAAAAGGTGAGGCTTTCAGAAATTATTGAGAGAGGAACAGGTGGCAATTCTTGTGATGATTATGCCTATCTACACTTGTATTGTTGAGGAATGGACTGTGTGTGACAGAAAAGTTCCAGAGCAATACTGTCTGACAGAACTTTCTTCAACACTTTCTTCTGTGCTGTTCAACACAGAAGACACTAGCCACAGGTGGCCACTGAGCACATGAAATGGGCTAGTTTGGCTGAGGAACTGTAATTTTAATATTACTTAATTTATTTAAACTTAAATATTCCCATGTAGCTGGTGGGTTCCATCTTGGACAGCATAGTGCCAGACTGTCTGAGATGTGGGGAGGGCATCCACTCCCAAATGGCAATGATCTCCAGATGAACAGGGTTTCTAGATGAAAATGTAAATGTAAACCCTTAGATATTTTAAATGTTTTGTTAAAAAAATATTTGCTGAGGACCAGGCCAAAGGAGAATTCCTTTAAACATGTTAATAAGGATTGTGCCTCATGGAAAGAGGCAGGTGAAGTCAAGGACATTGGTTCCAGGCAGTAGGGCATTCCAAAGGAAAAGTAATGATCTTGGAAAGGGGAGTGTGAACTTTTAAAAAAGAGAGCAGGCCAAACCGAATGAAGTAAATTCTAGATGAGCTGAGGTACTGCAGGAACCAGAAATGAGGTGAAAGGTGTGTACTGAGAGAAGGATAGATTTTACAGGGAAAGCAGGATGCCCTGGGGAATGGCTCAGCTGGTAGAAGTCTGGACAGAAAGTCATTAGGGGTAAATCTAGGCTCAAACCAAAACCGTCATTGATCCTGAGAAAAGGTGGATGAGTGGGCTTGAAAACGGGTCACTGGATCATAGGGGGATGATTGTTAATCCTTTAAATGCAGGTCAAATCATGGAAAATCTACTTGATAATCACTTAATAGCCTCAAATTTCCTTTTAGGAAAGCTAAATTATATATGTCACTGACTCTAATGTTGGATTGTGAGTAGGGTGATAAAAAGGGGGAGACTTCCAAAGAGAAGGGGATGCAGTTTGACAGAAAAACCTCTTCGTCTTCACCCTTGATAGTGGCAGCAAAAAAGCACAGCAGAACAAAGCAATACCTAAATCCCAAAGCAACCAGACAAAACCTGATGAAATGGAGCCCACCTTGCCCCTGTGCCAGAGGGGGATATGCCTTCATTTCAACAGAAGATACCGTGCAAATCTCCCATTATAAATAATGACAGCAAGCTTCAGTGAACTATCCACAGCCTTTCACAAACAGAATTACATTTGCATATATGACCTTTAGGGGTAAGAATTAAAAAAGAAAATACATGGATACCAAGATTTACTAAATAGAAGAAATTAGAGAATATGGCAAAGTGGGCATGGGAAAGTGTAATCTATGCTTTCTATGGCTACTATTACAATAAAAGTGGTGATCCCATCAGTGCTGTTCAATAGAACTTTCTGTGATGATGGATACATTCTATTCTGTTTGTTGTTCAATGTAAGAGTCATTAGCCACATATGGCTACTGAACTCTTAAACTGTAGCTAGAGCAATTTAGGAGCTGAAAATTTTAAAATCAAAATTTTATTTTAATTAATTTAAATTTAAAAACCATAGCAAGGGGCGCCTGGGTGGCGCAGTCGGTTAAGCGTCCGACTTCAGCCAGGTCACGATCTCGCGGTCCGTGAGTTCGAGCCCCGCGTCAGGCTCTGGGCTGATGGCTCAGAGCCTGGAGCCTGTTTCCGATTCTGTGTCTCCCTCTCTCTCTGCCCCTCCCCCGTTCATGCTCTGTCTCTCTCTGTCCCAAAAATAAATAAACGTTGAAAAAAAATTAAAAAAAAAAACCATAGCAAGATCATCAATCACTGTTTTAAGAAAAAGGATTTTATGGGTATATGGTGGCAATCATCTAAAAACAGTAAAAGATACTGAAGCATTTCAGAAAGCACTTCAAAAGAAGTTTCTGAAAAAAAAATTTCTAGAAAAGTCATAATTAACTCTAGAAACTATCTCTTTTCATACACATTCTGAATGATCAGGATTAAAAAAAAATAAGGGCTAGATTCAGTCAGAAAAGATAGAAGCATCTGCTTCACACAATACAACTCAGAAGAAGTCCCAAGCATTTAATATAATTTTTGAATAGTACCAGTAACTGTAAAGTGATGCTCTAAGTGTATTTGGTTTGGTAGATATGTATAGATGTGTGAGCGTCCATATGGGCAATGTGCTGTTTGCACTGCTGAGGTTGTAAACTGCTCATCTGCTACTGCTTTTATTGAAACTGCTTCATCCAAGTAAAATAAGGGAAATTACAAATTTCTAGGAAGACTCACAGAATGTGCAAGCAAAAAGGAATTCGGGTATTGATTACTATTCTTCAACATGTAAGAGAAGTGGCTTACGGTTTTCCTAAAGTAAAGGAAGAGTAGGTGTTAAATGGCGTCTCGTATCTAGAGACATAAAATATTCATGGTGTACTGTCCGGAGACGACACTACAATGTTTCTATTGTACTGCTGCATCAATATGGGATGATGTATTGTAATGTTTGTGCCAAAATGCTGTGATATGAGGTTGCCCTGCTTCCAAACAATTCTGTGAGTCTGGTTCTCCTTAATCAGATGATATAATGGCTCTTACAAAGTCATTAACTGTTTGGTTTAACAAAAACAAACAAACAAACAAACAAACAAAACCCTAAAGATATAATTTCAAATGTACACTAATTGATTTTACTTTTTTATGTAAAATATATTTTGAAATGGCATGCCTTGGTATAAACTAGCGAATTTGTGATTTTCCCCTTACTATACACAGTTCACAAAGCATGGAACCCACCAAACACCCATTCAGTCTTTGCACAGTGTGCATAAATTCCTGTTTACACACTTCGAGAACACTTCAGATCTTACATCATTTCTATTTTTAAGCATCTAGATATATTTTATTTTCTTAATGAGAGATAAAGAATAGTGCAGCGACTCTGAACTGAACTAAAGTGAAATAAATTCAGTGTTTATGTGACTGTATAAAAGAAAATTTGGATGTATATGATATCTTTATAACAGAAAATGACTAAGGGGAGTAAGGGTAATAGGAGACGACCTATCATCTTGTTTATAATTCCTAGTAGAGACCATGATTTTTAATATCACTTTTACTCAATTGATTACCGTTCATTGCCATGGAGTAAAATACTCTGCTAAATTAATTCAATAAATAAGACTAACTGCTTTCTTTACAGGAGAAGCATGAAAAACTAGTTTCTGAAATAAGCCTTTTTGCATTCTAGATTTTCAAAAACAAACATTTTACAGAATTTGAACACTAGGGGGCGTGTTTGTTTCTTGAAATAATGGTCTTGTTTAGGATTCCAAAAAAAGGCTGAGTAGTGAAACATTTGATTCAGATTTTTCTATGAGTTGCATGTTGGCACTGCAAGGTTTCTGACTCTGGGTTGGGTATTTTGGTTCTATAAATATTAATTAAATGAAGTAGCATGTGTGAAGTGACTAGGATAGTGGCTGCTACATAAAAAGCACTCAGTAGATGTTCACTCTTTCCAGGCCTCCTTATGTGGTTTGACTTCAAGATAGGACTGACAAATCCTCAAAAGGCAGACTACTCCAAAGTATGTGCTTTTCAGAGTTATATACATTATAAAAACACTAGAACATACATGTTCATTCATTCAAAAATGATTTCTTTTTGAATTCTTTATATGGTTCTATTTTTCCTTGATTATGGGAAAGCTAACTTATTGGATACCTAGCCTATTTTTACTTTAATTTACTTTAATGCCTCAGATTTGTCTTTTGTCTTCCTTTCTCTCTGCTCCTCATTTCTTGAACTTTTAAAAAGGTCTAAACAAAAACGTGTGGTGATGTGATGCAGAAAGCCATGGATAACAATTGCATTATTCATAATACAGCAGAGTCCTCAACGGGCAGACAAAAGAGTGGAGCAGCTAGTGTGGACATGCTTACAAGGCTGCACTGTCTCCAGGTAGTGGTACAGTTCCTCAATCATCATCCAATTGTTTTTCCTTTGGGGGCTTTTCTTTTTTTTTTTTTTTTTAAACACTTGGTTTTATTTTTATTTTTATTTTTTTTATATATGAAATTTATTGTCAAATTGGTTTCCATACAACACCCAGTGCTCATCCCAAAAGGTGCCCTCCTCGTGGGGACAGGACAGAGGGAAGGAAGGGATGGGAGGGAGCTTTTGTTTTCTGCTAACTCTATACAGCAGTCTGGCATTTTACCTTCTTCTTGGCTTCTGGAATAGTAAGGCTGGGCCAGGAGTCAGGGATGGGAGGAGCCCAGCTCCAGATGCTCTCTTTCCTAGGCACATACTTAGAAAAAGATTGACTGTTTTGCATGTGCATAGTCCAGTTAAGGTTAAAGGGTGAGGCTCTTATTTATTCCATGCAAAGAAGTTTTTCAGGTCCTGTGATATCTGATTCTTTGATCCCCATGGAGAGCTCTCTGATGCCAGCTCTAAAGTGGCACCTCTCTGCTGAATGTATAACAAGGCAGCAGTCACCAAGGACTAATCTAGGAAAGGAGAGGGGAGAGGTCTGTTGTCCCTGTCCCCGAAACAACAGTCATGTGGGACCTTTTAAAAAAGTTTTCTTCTCCAATCCCAAATTAATAATTTCCTTTATACTTAAAAAACAAACTGGCTTATATCTATTCTAACACCTATTAATCTGACTTAGGGTTTAATTAGTTTTAACCATGTTCTTCCCATCAAATGGCATTTTTTGAGGTTAGTGACGTGTTATATTTATCTCAGAATACTTTGTCCTTAACCAAGCACGTTACATATTAGAGGCTCAAGAAATGTTGGACTAAACTAAGTATCACATACCTCACTGAATTATACCATTTTATTGCTGAAAGAATTAGCAAGAAAGGAAATAAATGTTTCTAATTAGATAAAGCCAACATTAACTAATTAAAATGGTAGTCCATTTAATTTTTGTCCATAGTCTTGAAGCAAACTAGTGAAAACCAGTATCTAAAAAATGGTTCCTATAATCCTAAGCATTATGACAAGCTAGTCTTCTGATTTTTTTATATGAATTTTTATGTGTACATTCTTTGTCCTCACTAATCATGTACAGATAAAGATCAGTATAAGATTTATACAGATAAAGATTAGTATAATTTTATTTCTAGTTTTAACAGAACTAAAGTCTAAAAACAGGGAAAGTCTTATCCCACGCAGAGGTGTTAGGTTGATAGGAAGAAGTAAAAGAACCCACAGAACACCCAATCTTAGGCTCAAAGCAGCTACTCCATGCAAAAGCATATTTGTTACTAGCCACAGTTTCAAATTCTAATAGTATCACCTCTAGTGAAGGTTGTGTTAGGGCAAAATGAGGGAAGTTTTCTCCTCTCATTTTAATGATGGAAATCCGTATGTGTGGGCACTGATGCTATAAAGATGAAATTAGTTTGGATTTTGAAATCCTTTATGCTATATTCCAATTCAGAAGTTATTAGCAGAGAATGTACATCAGCATCACTGACAAAGCTTTTTCATTTTCAAGAATGCCCAGTACCACTCCTAGAAATTCTGATTCACTAGGTCTAGGGAGAGTTCTGGGAAAATGTATTTTTTAAAAATTCTGTAGGTGTTTTTAGTGTGAAATATTAGGTTTAAAAAATCACTGTTTTATGTAATAACTCCTTGAGAAAAGATACCATATTGTCTTTTTGGTCTCTCCAGTGTGTAGCATATTGCTTTGGCCTGTTTTTAAGTGCTCAGTAATTGTTAAATGAGTGAATGAATTTTATTACTTCTCTTTTTGCTCCTGTCTGCTTCTATGGAGATATGGAATACTGCCTTTGCTTAACGCAGTAATCATATTCAAAAAATGACTCTGGTGTCCAGCTCAGGTTACAAGGAAATAACAGGCTAAATGACCACCAATACTGGCCTTCTCTTGAGTGATGTCTAGTGCATGAAGTAGATATCTTACAGAGGACATTCAGAGTCTAGATCTGAGAACAGACCTGGTTTTGCAGTGACTCAAGCCATTTTAGTAATGTGAAAACTTGTAAAAACTATCCAACATGCAACTTGTTTCCAGCATTGTTCCTTTATAGTGGATGTTCTGTACGAGAAAATTTGTTTTATAGTTTTTGTTTTTGTAACTATGTGTACAGAATAGGAGCAAAAAAAGAACAAGTTTATTTTTTTAATTATTCCAAAAAAATTTCACTTAATTTTCTAACTTTTGAAATATCAACCTGCTGAGCTCTAGATAGATAATCATAATAATGGCTTTATGAATAATTCTAAAAGGAAACCTTCAGAAATCAATTTTGGACATAATAATGTAGGCAAAGGAATACTTACACTCTCACTCTGAAAAGGATTTAAGAAATTTCCCCCCATTTCGCCATCATCCCTTGGAGTGCCCGGTTGATTACTCAGGCTCATATTATTGGGTGAATTCTGTAAACAAGATTTAGAAAACAAGGCATTGTTAAAGATTTTAATTTCCCTCTTGCATTGTAGTGTTTCAAAAATGAAATCTACAGCAGCATCTCTAAGGACAAAGCAGACTTATAATTCTAATCTTAGACTTCTACTGTGCATCCTAGTTCATTCTTTACACCTTGACAAGTACTAATCTTTCCCAAATGGAAATTAAAAAACAAACAAACAAAACCCCAAAATAACCCACCACAACTTTCTTCTTCGTCTCAGAATCAATGTTTATTCAATTTCCCACCCTCAGCTTATAGAGTTCCTAGAACCATAGAGTTTAAAAAACATTCTCAGCAGGGGCATGATGAAGAGAGCCTACCCACTGATCAGGAACGATGGAACAGTAACTTGCCTTGGTGATTTTACTAAACAAACTTCAAAAGCTCACTGTTTGAGAATATTTCCCCTTAATTCTACTTGTGGCTTACGTAGTAACACTATTTCAACTATTTTTGTTTATATGAGCTGTAGGGAAAAAGGAAGATGGTTGACAAGTATAGTTAGGAACAAGAGAACTACCTGAGGACTTGTGAATCCAGTGTGCACTTGTAGAGGAAAAGAAGGCCCACAGTAAACTGCTTTAGAATCTTTTCCTATCATTAGTTTGAGTAGATTTACTTTGAAATGCTCTTTTAAGATAAAATGGCTGATAGGAGCAATCTAATCAAACACTAATAAGTTAGCTGCATATTGCTTCATATTCTACTTAAATTTGCTAGTCTTGTTATTACTGTGCAATGTTAGCTGTGGGAGGTCATCTGCTACTCCATACCAACAGGAAATACAGAATGGCACTGCCATATAAAGCATGTTCACACAGCACTGCAACTGTGACTGAGGGACTCTTTCAAGGTCTAATTTATTGACTTGTAGAAACCAACTTCAAGGTTAAAATTTTTTATTTGTTATTTCAAATGGAAGACAGATTTTAGAGTTTTTCTAAGCCATTTCTATTTTATATTCTGTTTTTGAATAAGTTCTAGAATTTTAAAAGAAAATTGCTCTGAAGATTTTGACTTAACTACAACAAAGTTATGTCATAAAAATTAAAATTTCATGAATGAGTTATTCTCAGAAGAATATATGCTGTTTTGGAATATAGTTAAACTGTAAAGCAGAGACAGGTAGATGAACTGGTGGAAATACAGCTTATATCTTGTCCTGCTGTGCACCCTACAGGGAAGATCTGAGAACAAGGATCCTCTGAAGTCCATAGGAGCTCGATTTGCCAATGAACCCCAAGGGCTGGGGAACCACAGTTAATAGCATAAAGAGGATTCTTTTTTTTTTTTTTGGATAAATTTTTCTCTGAATATGTTAGTTCCCCAAGTATACAGAAAAGTAACTACTTTCAAATGAACATAGATAACTTCATTTCCTGAAAAAAAATTTAAGTAAAATTTAAATAAGTGTATTATCATTTCATAGCTCATTAATTATTAAAATTATTAACTAAATAATCAACTGTTCCTTGAAAACAGGAATGTTAATGCTGATTTGGTTCAAAAAGAAAACTAAATTTATACAAATTTTGTAAGGCTTAGCCAAAATCTATTTGGTGAAAGCAGATGTCTGTTAATTTATATATAATTAAGAAATTGGTAATCCCAGAATAAAAAATAATTCTCTATATAAGGGTATTTAAAGATGCACTTGCAAACTTCTTCATTCCTGTGTAACTAACATGTTTCCCGTGGTACCCGAGATACCCTGAAATGAGCAGCACATCTCTGATGCAGTTAGGGTGCTCCCTGTTTCTTCCATACTGTCCCATGCATCACTTCTTGATTTACAATTTTGAAAGTTAGCTAACTTCAAGTCTAATTCTTGACTCAAAATGCTGATTTCAAAATATTTAAAATTTGACAATGACACTGCATTATTATTTAAATATTTACACAACACCTCTCTTATTGTTTCTGTTTTCCATGCAATCTATTCATCGCATGGTGGCTCACCAGTATATGCTTTTTGGGTGTGGGAGGAAGATATATAAGAACATTGAGAGGAAGATTAAAAGGACACATTCAACATACAAAACAGCTAATATCAGATCTCTGAAACTTATTCAGCTCAGTGAGCATATTTGAAAATCTTCAAATGATAGGACAAACCTTTGTTTGTTATTATTATTTTTTTAACCTAAAGTAATCTGCAAAATGTGAAAACAACAAAAATTTCTTAATGCAGAGTCTTATGAAAATTGTACTATCCATGATCAGTGAATAACCTGATAATGACACAGGCTAAAAGACACACTTATTACTGGTGTCTAAGAAACAAGACAGTGGTTCCAAACACCAGCTCGAAACAGGTTATGAGTGTGGGTCTCCATGAACTGTGTGTATGTTATATTTAACAATAGCTATGTTTGTTTGCAGTGTTTCCAGTAGATTTCATCAAGGCAAGAACATAATACACACAAAAAGGGCTTAGATCAAAAAGGCACTCTGATAGCTTGAGCACATAGGGAGAAGGGAGTACAAGAAAATCCAAGTAAAGATCACTTTTAACTACATTAGGCACTCTGTTTACATTTCTTACTTCAGTTACAATGTACTGTATTTCCTACTTACACTCTAAGAATTTAGCTTATAAAAGTATAATTAGTATTATACTGATCCCATCTTCAAGGGATTTTATTACTTTCTCAATTACCCTTTCTTCAAACTGGAATGTTTTTTTCTTAAGCTATAACTTCATATATGAATGTTATATGAGGGAGGATGCATACCCACACCCACCCACCCCCCCACACACACACATTTCCTCTGGCTAACACATTTAATTCTCTTAGACCCTCTATTCTCTCATTTTATCTTGCAAGTATTTTTCCATGTCATCTCTTAATTAGTAAGTTATTGTCCTTTCTTTTACCCACCCTCAGAAATTGTTCCAGCCTTTTCAAGCTATTAAAAAAAGTGCACATGTACATAAATTTTGACTCAGCCCATAACTGGAATAAAATAATATTGATATTATTTGAAGCCCTCTAGAGGTGGATTTGAATCACTTCCTCAGAGCCTGCCAATAACAAGTTTTATGGAGTGTTGTTTTGACTCTGCCAGCCCCCCAAAAGAACAAAATGTCAGTCATGGTTCTCCCAGGGGATAAAAGGGAGCTAGAGCCCAAGCCAAACTGAGAAGATGGCAGAGATCTATGGTGTTGAATAGCTCCCCTGTGAAGGGTGTGGGATCTTTAACTGGAACTGAGGTTCTTGACTCAGAAACCTTTAGGTTAAAAAGACCTCTTGGATAATTCATTAAGTGTGATATGATCAGATCTGGCCTTCTCTGATATGTTTTTTTTTTCAAACTAAATATATAAGTGTTAAGTATGTTAATGTGAACTGCAGAATTTATTTACATTATTTCCTTCTAAGAAGATAAACCATATGCTCGTCTCAATCCCCAACTCCTAAAAGAACTCCAAGGGAAAATATTTTTGTCCTATTGATTAAATGGGTGACTTCTGGACTCCTAAATTAAAGGTGAATTCTGCATTTTGAGAGAGATGCATGTGAGTTTTACTACTAATCCTCAACCGAGCAAGAAATAATTTTAAAACTCTCCATTTGGAGTTCTGAGCTCATTGTGCCACTGAAACAGTGCTATCAAAATGCAGGTGACAGTGTGTCTAGCCTTGCTGACAAAAGACAGCATAACTAGTGAGGAGGAAGATATTTAATATCTGTATATTGCTTTAGAGCCCTAGCATATGTTCACACTTTACTCTCAACAGTTTTATGAAGAAGACAGGGGATGAACTACAAGCTCTATTTTACAGCTAAAGAAACTAAGCCTAAGAGAAATGAAATAACATGTTGCCCCAATTTTTAGGTAGGAGAACCAAATTTTCTGATTCTCAGAGGTTCAATACTCTTTATTAGCTTACATATAAGAAGGATAATATAGAGTATTTTACAATAAAAAGGTAGAAAAGGGATATAAGTAGTACTAGTAAACAACATGAAAAAAGGAGTAAGAAATTTTTAAAAAATGTAATACTGGCACTTAACAAAATACAGGTCTAATTGGAGAACAAAAAATACGTAGCTGGAAACCTAAGAGGGATTTTGAACAAAACTGTTAAGCAGTAATGGCCCAAACTGTCTTATGATTCACAAATAAAAATGGCTAGAAAAAGAATAGGATGAAAAGGAATGAACCCAGGAAACAAGAGAAAAGGGAGGAGAGTTTCTTGAGAGAACTGGTCTTCTGCTGGAAAAGGAAGAAGGTGGGGAAATGAAGTTAGTGATAATGTGGAGAGCATGGAACAAAAATCTGAAATAATTAGGCTGTGAATGGAAAGAGGTAGGGAGAGAAATAATTGGGGGTGATGGAGATATATATGATGCTACTGATTAAAGAAAAAAGGGTAGTGGACATACAAGAGACACCAGTGGTATCATCATGCAGTTAGAGCCCTGAACCCCACGAACCTGGAACAGGGGCAGTGCAGAAATGAGCTGCAGAGGAGCTCATCGGAAGGCAGACACAACTACTCATTTCTAGAATATTGTTAAATGACATGTTTATTACTTGGGGCAAACTCTTATGTTAAGTGAAGTGTATTTGAACTTTGCTTTGTGTAAGTTTTTCCTTATTGTCTTTGGTCTGCTCAGTTATACTGAGCTCCTGGAGGGCAGAGATCATACCTTGTTTAACTTCGGGTTTTCAGAGCCTGGCAGACATAATGCCTTGGTACAGTAATGTTTACTGAGTGAAAGAACTCCTGCCTAACCACTAGAGGACAGAAATTATGTTTGTATTTGAAGAAGTCTCTTATATCTCCACATAGTGCACAAGGCTACACAAGTACACACTTGGTAGTCAATTAATGCTTAAAGAATAAGCACTACATCACCAAGCAAGAGAATGTTATCAGCAGTAGGCACAGGATAGTGGAAAAACTTGTCTCCGGAAATAGGAATGGAAAAATTAGCATGGAAGGAATCACAATAG